AAAGGTTATTCGTAAAAAAGGTAATAAATCATTTGTAAAGTGGTATGGATATCATGATACTTTTAACTCATGGGTTGATAATAAAGAATTGAAAGCTATTTAAATAATTATCTTACATATATAAAAATGAACAACTCAAATGTAAATGTGAATATATGTGTAACAGCTACTTCTGGTAATGCTAATACAAATACCACTGTAACGACAACAACTTCACATTATAGCAATGGATCGAACAAATGATGTAAGATAAAATTTGTATATTTTACAATAAAATTAAAAAAATTGAAATGAGTTAAATAATTTTCTTGTATATATAAAATGGAAAACGATATGCGAGACGAATTTATGAATTCTTATAAAATAACACAAGAATTAGAATTAGAATATAAATTAAAAACAGAAAGACTTGAAGAATTAAGAGAGAATAAAGGTTATTTTGAAGAAGATATATCTTATTATAGAGAAGTACGTAACCTAAGATATGATGAAAAAGAAGAAGAAAAAAAAAACTAGACTTGACGAATAGTTTAGAAGAAATAGAAATAGAACTAAAGTTAGAAAAATTAAAAATAGATATATTAATAGGTGACAAAATATTAAAAGAAGAAATGATAATGGAAATGGAATGGAAGATAAATTTGGATTAATGTCATATTTAATATTAGATAATAAAGTTTTAGAATGTGAAAAATATGATAAAGAATTAAAAAAACTAACATGTTTAGAAACTGATAAAAAAAGAATAGATGAATTAAAATTTAAATTACAATTTGAAGATGAAGTATTAGAAGACTTGAAAGAAAGATTTAATTCAAGATCTGAATTAGTGATTGATAAAGAAAGAATGAATAGATTGGTAAATTCTTTTGGATATTATGGATATAAAAAATTAGAATTAGAATTTTACGAAAAAGATATAAAATATTTAAAAAATTCAATAAAAAAAAGAAAGGAAAAAATAGATTTAATAAAAATAGATTTAGTGATTGATAAAGAAAGAATGAATGAAGAAGAAAGAATAGAAAGAATAAAAAGGTTTGTAAAAGAACTGGATAGTTTGAAAGTTGATAAAGTATATAAATATTTGGAAAAATATAAAAAATATAAAAAAGAAAAAAATAAACTAAAGTATAAAAAGATAATAGAAAAGTTAGAAGTATTGATATTAAGAAAGATAGAAGAGTCAGAAGTAAGTATATTAAGAGAAATGTTAGAAGAGATAAATGAAAGAATAGAAGCAATAAAATTAGATGACAATATAAAATTAGTATTAGATGTAAGATTAGAAATAAAAAGATTAAAAAGAAGATTGTATGAGGCTTCGATGTAAAGTTTAGAATTAATTATATATTTTTTAAAAAATATATAATTGTTGAAAATATATGTGTAACAGCTACTTCTGGTAAACAAATACCACTGTAACGACGACAACTTCACATTATAACTCCTCTGGATCGAGCAAATGATACAAGAAAAAAATTGTATATTTTACAATAAAAATAATTTTTTTGAAATGATATAAATAATTTTCTTGTAAATATAAAATGGAAAACGGTATTCGGGACGAATTAATTAATTCTTTTAAAATAACAGAAGAATTAAAGTTAGAATTAAGATTTAAAAAAGAAAGACTAGAAGAACTTGCATTTAAAATCAAAAAATTAGAATCAAGATTAGATACTATGCGTGAAGAAGCATATGAATATCATGAATATGAAATAGAAGACTTGGAAAATAGAATAGAAGAATTAAAATTAAAAATAAAAGACTTGGAAAATAGAATAGAAGAATTAGAAGAAGAGGTAAAGTTAGAAAAATTAAGATTAGAATTAATATTAGGAGAAAAAATATTAGAAGATTTAGTAGTAGAAGCAGGATCAGAAGATGATTTATATTTGCTATCATTTTTAATATTTGATGAAAAAAGATTAGAATTAAAAAGATTAGAAAGAAGATTAGAAGAAAAATCATGTTTAATAACTGAAGAAAGAATGAATCAATTAAGATTTGAAGATGAAGTGTTAGAAGATTTAGAAGAAAGGTTTAATTCAAGATCAGAATTAGTATTTGATCAAGAAAGAATGAATCAATTACAAAATATAGTAGGAGTGTGTGGTGGAAACGGATATAAAAAAGAAGATTTAGAAGGATTAGAAAAATTATTAATTGGAAATAAAAAAATATTATTAGAAAAAATAGAAAATTATGAAAAAGAATTAGAAGATTACGAAGAGTTTAAAGAAAGAATAGAAGCAATAAGATTAGATGACGATATAAAATTAGTATTAGATGTAAGATTAGAAATAAAAAGATTAAAAAGAAGATTGTATAAGGCTTCGATGTAAAGTTTAGAATTAATTATATATTTTTTAAAAATTATACAATTGTTGAAAATGAGTTAAATAATTTTCTTTTATATATAAAAAGATGTCGTATGTAAGTATTGAAAATTTTGATGAAGCAAATTTATATGTAAAAGAAATTAAAAAAATTAATAAACTTGTTCCACATCAAAAAGTAGTTATTGGCTACAACTATTCAGATTGTTCAGAGGATTTAAGAGTTAAAACCCCAAAATCGTTTTCATATGGAGTTAATGAAAATAGAGATATAAAAACAAAAGAACTTACAGGATATTCAATTCCTTTTGTATGTGAAAATGATAAATTTATCACAATTATTGAAGCTATTGAAAAATTTTGTAGAGATAAAGTTACTGAAAATGAATCAATGTTAAAAAAAGGTGGTATGAAAAGTCTTAATATACAAAACTTGAATATTTTAAAGTACAAAGATGATGACCCTAATGCACATCCAATTCTATATGCAAAAATACCTATAGATTTTAAAAGTAAAAAGATAGATCAAGTATTTAGGAAAAAAAATGAAGGTGATATTTTAGGAGAAAGTCTTATTAATAAAAGATGTGACATTGTTGGATGCTTAGCAGTTGAAGGTGTATATATCGGATCAATGATTCAATCTATTCAAGTAAAATTATTAGATGGAGTTGTATTTAAAAAAGAGTACAAGATAGAAAGATTAAGATTTTATATTAAAGATGATGATTTAGAAAGCGAAGATAATTTAGAAAACAAAAATGATTAAGATACAGATTATTTATTTTTTATATTACTAATAATATAAAAAATGAGATAGGTCTCTTTGATCTAAATAAAATAATATATATAAAAAATGTATATTGAAATTGAAAAAGATAAACAAAATCCAGTTATAATTAAATTTGATGATATTATTAAACCTGATGAAAATAAAGAGTATGAAATGGCTCTTGATAGATTTCAAACTATTCTATATAGTAGTTTAAATAAAAACAAAAAAATATATATATTAAATAATCTTGTAGATGGAAAAATTGTATCTAATAATGGTAATGCTAAGAAAACGACTGTAATGTATTCATTTATGCCTATTATTGTTTCTAAAAATTCAGTTATTAATGAACAACCATTATCTAAAAAATATTTTCCGTTAAAAACAAAGTCAATTTCAGAAATGAAAATTGATATCATTAACAACTTTAATAAACCTATAGATTTTAATAATGAAAGCTTTACTATAGAATTTCATATAAGAGAGAGAAAAAAGTAAGTTCTTTTAGAACTAATATAAATTTTTTAATTAAATGAATTAAAAAATTATTACATATATAAAAAATGTCAAAAACAATACATATAACCTCAAACGATACTGTTATAAATACTAATATGGTAGTTCCTATTGAACTAGATGAAAATAAAGAGTATGGAATAGCTCTAAAAAAATTAATGACTTATAATAGTTTTCCAAATATTATTGAAGGATTAAACAATACTATAAATATTACTATAGAAGCTAGTGATAATCCTATTTATCAACAAATTAAGATCCCAACAGGATCCTATGAACTTAGAAATATAAATACAAATGTAACTAGATATGTAATGACTACTCTTAAAGATCAACTTGCTAAATATAAAGAGTCTTTTAAAAATGTTTCAGACGCTGAATCTTTAAAAAAAAAAGCTGTATATGATAGTATAAAACTTGATCCTACATCTATTATATTTGAAGCAAATTTTAATACTGAAAAATCACAGATTATTATTAATAGAAGTAGCAATATTAGAATACAATTTGATGATGACTCCATAAAAGATCTTTTAGGTTTTAATAATAGAGATCGTGATGGTAATCTTATAACATTTAACTCATCAAAAGTATATATTTCAGATAAAGTAATAGATACAAATCATGTTAATACTATTCGTGTAACAAATAGCCTTGTAACAGGGTCAATTATAAATGGTGTATATTCAAATGTTATATATTCATTTTATCCATCTGCGCCAGTTGGTTGGAAAATTGTTGAAGTACCAAATAATCCAACTTATTATAAATTATTATCAAAAAAAATTTGGGATATGAAAACAACAATAATTGATCAAGATGGGCATATACTTACTTTACAAGGGGAACCAATAAGTATTGAATATGAAATAAAAGAAAATGTATCAAAATGTAAATCAGAACATCTTTTAGAAAGACAAGTATCTCTTTTAGAAGAACAAAATGAACTTTTAAAAAAACAATTAAGATAATCTCAAAGTGAATTAGGTCTCTTTGAGACCCAGATTCATGCAAGTGATTTAAAAAAATATATAGTAAACAAAATGTTAGATATAAATAAAAAAACATATACTCACAAGTATATGTTTTTTTATTAGTAGTAGGTGGAAGTGCAGTATTTACAGATATAAATAATATGTATAATCAAGCAAAATCTTCTGATTTTTTTAGAGCATTATCTGGTATGAAAACAATGTTAACTAATCATTTTAATAAAAATAGACCAATAATAAAATAGTTTTTTTTCCAGATTTATTAAAATGAATTAAAAAAATATACAGTAAATAAAAATGTTAGTTATAAATAATAAAGGATATACACACAAGTATGAAGTAGGTGGAAGTGGATTATTTACACCTTTTTTAAATATGTTTAATAAACAAGCATTAAGTAATGCACTTAATTCATCTCGTATTATAGCTAGTAAAGCAGTTGCTACAGACTTAGGAAAAACTGCTATAGACGCGGCCAAGTCTGCAGGGAAAGAACTTGCAGCTTCTGCAATATCTACTGCTAAAGAAATTGTAATAAATAAAGGTAAAAAAATAATAGAAAATGTAAATAAATCATCCAAGCTGACACCTGAAAATAAACAAGAACTTAAAAATTTAATAAATACTTTAGATAGTAAAGTACATGAAATAGTACCAGACATTAATAAAATTATGATGGGATCATCAATAAAAAGTAAACCTGTTAGAATACAAGATTTAGTTAAAAAACATAAAGGAGATGGGCTTATAATAATATAATTTTATCAAAATAGTTAGATTTCATTAAAATGATTTAAAAAAATTGTATTGTATATATAAAAATGGTAAAATCTGATATATTTAATATTACTGACAAATTAAGATTTGATGAAGAAATCAAAAAGTATGAAGAATATGAATTTACACCCTCTGTTAATTCTAATTTAAATTCAGGAGAAATAAGAGTTTATATTGAAAACAGTGATTCTTTGTTTCATTCACATGAATCATATTTAGAAATTGAAGGAAGACTTGTAAAAGCAGATGGAAGTGCATATGCAAATACAGATGCAATAACACTAACACACAATGGACTTATGCATTTATTTGATAGAATTGAATATAAGTTCTATGATTCAGTAGTTGAATCAGTTAATTTTCCAGGTAAAGCAACTACAATGCTTGGAATGTTGAAATATCCAAATGACTTTCAACAATCAAAAGCAATGAATCAATTGTGGTTTAAAGATACTACATCAACTGCAGATTTAGTTAATAATGCAGGATTTTCAGCAAGACAACAATACATCATTCAAAAACCAACTACAAAAGGTTCATTTGAACTTAATATCCCATTAAGACATATTTTTGGATTTTGTGATGACTATGATAAAGTTTTTTATGGATTAAAGCATGAACTTTTTCTGTTAAGAGCAAGTGATGATAATGCAATTTTTAAAGCTGCCAGTGTAGCTGTAGGAAAAGTAAATATTACTAGAATATCATTAATGATGAGACGTGTAACTCCATCTGCTATAGCAGATTTAGAACTTACTAAAATAATTAAATCACAAGAAACACTTGATCTAGGTTTTAGATCGAGGTACTTGGACAAAATGAATGTTCCACAAAATACATCATTTGACTGGAGATTAGGAGTAAGATCTACTGAAAAACCGAGATATATACTTGTTGGTTTTCAAACAAATAGAGAAGGATATCAAGAACAAAATTCTTCAATATTTGATCATTGTGATTTAAAAAACATGTGGATTGAACTTAATGAAGAAAGATATCCTGCTACTAATTATAGTTTATCATTTCCAAATATGAAAATTACTAGAGCTTATAGACATGCATCAAATTTTGCTGAAGATTATTATAATATGACAAATCTTATTAGTCTATGTGGTATAACTCCTTCAGACTATAGAGATTTATATCCTATTATGTATTTTAATGTAAGTAAACAATCAGAAAGAATGAAAGATTCAATAGTAGATATTAGACTTAAAGCAGAATTTAATACACCTGTTCCAGCAGGTGCTATTTTATTTGCTCTCATCATTTCAGATAGAATAGCAAAACTTACTTCTAATGGAGATAGATTAAGATTTGAATATTAGGTTCCTTTGGAACTCAGACTTCACTAAGTCACAAAGTGGCCCAGACTTCACTAAGTCAGATGCTAAATGATAGTAAAAGAAAATTAATTATTTTAAAAAAATATATGCAATAAAAAATACTGTTATTTAAATTATTTGAAAATAATTTAAATAAATTTTCTTTATATATAAAAATGAGTGATAGAATAAAATATACAAAAAAGTATTTATTAAGTTTACTAAAAGATAATAATATACAACAAACATCTAAAGATCCTATGGCATTAGTTATGATTGCTATGGATAATAATTTAATTGATAAAGATTCTGTAAAAACAAATATCATTACTAAAAAACAAAAAAAACCAAAGATTGAAAGAGTTAAAAGAGTTAAAAAAGAAAAAATAGTAAAAGAAAAAAAATCTGCTGGAAGACCAAAATTTCTTCCAATAAAAGAAAAAAAAGAAAGAGATCCTAAATATGACTATCTCACAACATATAGAACAGATCCATGGGGAATTAAACTTACTAATATGGAAACTGGTGAAGTTAAAAATTACAAATCATTTTATGACTATAATAAAAAAGAAAAGCGCTCTGAAACTTATATTTTTAGTAGAAATGGGAAAATTGTAGATGGAGTAAAAATTGAAATAACTAGAGCAAGTAAAAAAAAAGATGTTGATTCATTATCACAAAATAAAATAGATAATGAAAAATACATTATTTTTATAGACTTTTTCTATAAAAATATAATAAGAAAACGTTTTTTGTATCATTTAATTTTCTTTACGTAAAAAATTGAAAATGATATAAATAATTTTCTTGTGTATATAAAATGGAAAATATGAGATTAACAGAATTAAAACAAATCGCTAAAGAGCGAAGAATTAAATATTATTATAGAATGAGAAAAGCAGATCTAATAAGATCGTTAAATGCTTCTCAACCTCAAAATATATTAGATATGCCTATACCAAATAATAATACACAAAATACTTTAACACCTACACATTATGTTCCAATTAATTATATTAATACTATTAAGAGCAAAGTTAATTCATTTGCTAATTGGATTATGGACTATGTTCCTGAACCTATTAAAAATGTTGCTAATGAAAAACTTACATCAATAAAATCTGTAGTTTCAAACTTGTATAAAAGGTATAGAAAACCAATAGAATTTAAATTAATACAATCAGCTCTCAAAAATGTAACTAAGCAATTTTCAGCTGAAGGAGTTGAAGGAGCTGATGCTTTATCTTATATGAATTCAGTTAAAAATAATGTATTTAAAATATTAAATAGTAATAAAGGATCAAAAATCTATATTGTTCTTCAGTGTGTAATGGAAAGTACTGATATTAAAAATGGAGAAACTATATCATCTGTTATACCCTTTTCATCCAATTCAGAATTTGTTTTAGAATCAACAAATTTAAATGACTTTATGAAATAACTACAAATAAAATTTTAGAATCTATGGCAGCATTTCAACGAACAAAATCAAATTGGAGATTTGTATCAGTTGTAGAGATGAATATAAATATCATTGAATATAAGCCTATTAAAGGTAAATCTTACATTCCTCTTCCTAAAGAGTTAGCAACTAAAAAAGCAATTATTAATATGAAGAATGAAGACAACGAATGCTTTAAGTGGTGTGTTGCTAGATTTTTTAATATAAAAGAAAAAAATTCTGAAAGAGTAGATAAAGATTTAAAAGAACAAGCTAAAAAATTAAATTGGGAAAAAATAAAATTCCCAGTATCGTTGAATCAAATATCGCTCTTTGAGAAAAATAATCAAGACATCAGTGTTAGTGTATTTGGATATGAAAAATTATCAGTCTATCCTTTACACATATCTAAAAACAAAAATAGGCAACACCAAATAGACTTATTACTTATTTCAAATGGTAAGACAAACCACTATTGTTTAATTAACAATCTAAGTAGATTACTTTCATCACAAATATCTGAACATAATGGTAAAAAACACTTTTGTAAAAATTGCTTACAATCATTTAGTACTGAAGAATCTTTGTCAAAGCATAGATTGTATTGTGATAGTGTTGATTCAATAAGAGTAGAAATGCCTGAACCTAATACAATGTTAGAATTTACTAATTACAATAGATCAATGAAAGTACCCTTTGTAGTATATGCTGATTTTGAAAGTTTTATTAAACCAATAGACACTTGTACACCTAACCCAGATGAATCTTATACAAAGCAATACCAAAAACATACACCAAGTTCATTTTGCTACTATATTAAATGCTTTGATGAAAGTATTGAGAAAACAATTGAGAAAACAATTGGACATAGCATACTAACTACATTCACTGCAGATAATGAAGATGATGATGTAGCACAAATTTTTGTTTATCATTTAGAAGCTGATATAAAGAAAATATATAATAAATATTTAAAATTTCCAAAAGATATAATATTTACTAGTAAAGACGAAGAAGAATTTAACAATGCAAAAATATGTCACATTTGTGAAGATCTTGAAGAAGATAAAGTAAAAGATCATTGTCATATTACAGGTAAATACAGAGGTGCTGCACATAATAAGTGTAATTTAAATTATAAAATTCCAGATTTTATACCTGTCTTTTTTCATAATTTATCTGGATATGACTCTCACTTGTTTATAAAGAAATTATCAGGAAATGGAGAATCAGAAGAAAAAATAAATTGTATACCTAACAATGAAGAAAAATATATCAGCTTTTCTAAACAAATTAAAGTTGATGAATATATTAATAAAAAAGGTGAAAAAAAAGAAATTAAAAAAGAACTACGTTTTCTTGATAGTTTTAAATTTATGGCTTCTAGTTTAGATAGTTTAACTAAAAATTTGTCAAAAGATCAACGTAAGAATATTGGTAAATACTATTTTGGAAATGAACTCAATTTATTGTTAAGAAAAGGTGTTTACCCCTATGAATGGGTTGACTCTATTGATAAATTGAATGAAACACAATTACCGCCAAAAGAATCATTTTATTCAAGATTAAATGATGAAGGAATAAGTGATGAAGATTATTTACATGCTCAAACTGTATGGAAAGAGTTTGATTGTGAAACATTTAGAGATTATCATAATTTATATAACAAATCTGATGTATTACTACTAGCTGATGACTTTGAAAATTTTAGAGATGTCTGATTTAACAATTACAAATTAGATCCTGCTTGGTACTATACGGCACCAGGATTAGCATGGGATGCTGCATTGTTAATAACTAAAGTAAGATTAGAATTATTAAGTGATTATGACATGATTTTAATGATAAAAAAAGGAATAAGAGGTGGAATTAGTATTGTCTCTAACAGGTTAGGAACTGCTAATAATAAATACATAGAAAATTATGATAAAAATAAAGAATCTACATATATACAATATTTAGATGCAAATAATTTATATGGATGGGCTATGAGCAAACCACTTCCTACACATGGGTTTGAATGGATGAGTGAAGAAGATCTAAAAAATTGGAAATCTACTTCTTGTATATTAGAAGTAGATTTAGAATATCCTGAACACTTGCATGATTTGCATAATGATTATCCTCTTGCTCCTGAAAGATTAAAAATAGATAAAGTTGATAAGTTAATACCTAATTTAAATCATAAAGAAAATTATATCATTCACTATGAAAACTTGAAACTGTATGAAAGATTAGGAATGAAATTAACAAAAATTCACAGAGGAATAAAGTTTGAAGAAAGTGCATGGTTAAGTAAATACATTGAACTCAATACAGATCTAAGAACAAAAGCAACAAATGATTTTGAAAAAGACTTTTTTAAACTTATGAGCAATTCAGTGTTTGGAAAGACAATGGAGAATATTGAAAACAGAGTTGATGTAAGATTAGTTACAAAAAGAGAAGAAGCTGTTAAATTAGCATCAAAACCAAACTATGAAAGTAGAACGATATTTGATGAAAATTTAATAGCTATTCATATGAAAAGAACAAAACTTGTATATAATAAACCTATTTATTTAGGTATGTGTATTTTAGATTTAAGCAAGACTTTGATGTATGAGTTTCATTATGATTATATCAAAAATAAATATAGAGATAGAGCTAAAATATTAAACACAGGCACAGATTCATTAATCTATGAAATAAAAACAGAAGATTTTTATGAAGATATTTTTAATGATATTGAAAGTAAATTTGATACAAGTGAATTTGATCCAAATCATTCAGCTGTTAAAAATGGATTTAAAGTAGGCATAAATAAGAAAGTATTAGCAAAGTTTAAAGATGAGTCAGCAGGAAAACAAATTTCAGAATTTCTAGGACTCAGATCAAAATTGTACTCTTTCAAAATAGATGAAGAAGATAAAAAGAGATGTAAGGGAGTAAAGAAAAATGTAGTTAAAAATTATATAACTCATGAAGGTTACAAAGAATGTCTTATGAATAGAAAAGATCAATTGAGAAAAATGAATGTCATAAGATCTCATTGTCATGATGTTTATACAGAAGAAATAAACAAAATAGCATTGAGCGCAGAAGATGATAAAAGAGTTATTTTAGAAGATGGTATACATACCCTAGCATATGGACATTATAAATTAGTTCCTAGCATAGCCTGGGTTCCTTCGGAATCTAAACCCAACTTTTCATTTCAGATTGATTGGAATGAAAATGATAGTATTGACAGCAAAGCCTGGGTTCCTTCAGAACCTAAGCCTAACTTTTCATTTCAGATTGATTGGAAATAGACAGGTAGGTAAGTAATTTTTTATATCTTGAAGAGATCTAAAAAAATCTAAAACTATTAATAAAATGGATAAATATATCAATGTTGAAGGAATTATATTACCAAATGAACCCTTAACAAACTTTCAGTTAATAAAAGCAGCAAAAAAATTAAAATTAAAAATTTTAGAGGTGTATTTGTAAGAGATGAATTACCTAAAAATACACAAAACAAAGAATGTGGAATATTAAATACTGGAGATTCAAGTACGAATGGATTTCATTGGATTTG